GTATGCTTTGGATCTTTAGCTGTCCCTCTTGGCCTCCACACTTTGCTCTTGCCATCACTTTGATGTGAGTGAATCTTGATCTCATCTGGCCACACTCCCTTTTTGAAGAACTCTGTTGAAGGCTCTTTTAGGCTAAGCGACTGTAACTGTAACCTCCACCACCCTGTTTTTGTGGCTAACTAGTGGTTTGCATCTTGCAGCAATACCCCTGCAGGTGTGTTTGTGAAGTGTTCTGAGGGCAGCAGTCACTGACACGCCCATACCTGCCTCCTGGAGAGCGCTTCTGATCCGCCAGACGGGTATTTGGTGGTTTCTCATAATTATAGTGAGAATTCTTCAGTCATCTTCTGTTGAGGTCTTCTTAGCCTACCAGGCCTTTTACCAATTACCAAGTTCACCATTGCTCTCTTTCTTCTCAATTATGTTGCAGACAGTTGATTTATGTATACCAAAGGTTTGGCCTACGACAGCTATTTTCTTATTTCTCAGCCTCATAATGACTTTGTTGCCTTTTATTGGTGCATCTCTGGTCCTCCTTTTGACAAACACCAATGACAGATTCCAACAGTAATCTAAAGCCTTACTAATCATAAACACATGGGACTCCATTTGTCCACAAACATTATGGTGCCATAAGATGGGGGGCCATGCATAAAAAAGTGCTGTAAATTCTACATGGTGAAAAACAAACACCTTAAAAATATCCTTTAATAAAATCTGAGAATCTGCATTTTAACCATTGTAATTGCTTGATTTCAAATCTAACATAGTGAAGGAGAAAAAACAGGACAAAATTGTGCCTCTGTCTCAAACATTATGGAGGGCGCTGTATATATGTATACTCACAGAAACACACACAGGTAGTGTCTTCACGTTGCACACTGTTTTCTGTGAGTCGCCAGTTATAATCAGATCAGAAAACAATTCTTCAGCAGTACCTTTTAATACATTCTGGTCCCTCACAGGTCCATTCTCTCCGAACAACTGCAGGCACCCTAAGTACAACATGAATAACACCTGACTCTGTCTGCCATGCACAAGAGCATGACTGTTCTCAGTAATATCCGGCAAAACAAGTCACTAGCTCGTTTCCTCCTTCGTGCCTAAGGATTCAGCAGTACAGAATACAGAAACCCAAGCACACATCCTGAGGCAAACTGCCTGTAAGGTAACTATGCTGGAGGGAAGGGACAGCAGAAGAGCACTGCTGAGAGGAGTAGCGAGAAGAGGATTATAGCCCCTGTGCTGAGGAAGTCCTACCTGCTCCTAACGGACAGTCCAACACCACATCACCAACACTGACCTCAACACTAAGCTCAACTCCCCATTCTGTCTCACCCCCCCCCCCCCTCACTCTCTCCCAGCCCCCATCCCCCCCCCCCCCCCCGCCCATCCTAAGGTCAGAAATAGTAAGCTAATGCTTCATGGAGAATGATAACCAGTTTAAAAAACATTACGTCTTAGCAGAACATTCAGAGGAAGTGGTCTGTTTATGCAGCTTGCTGTCTTGCATCTACTGTTGTCAAAATTATGTTTGATTTCTAACATAATCTAGGAAAGAAGCTAAAAATAAAATATCTTGGTTTATGACGGTTGTAAAAGATGTAATCGAATAAAGCATTTACTCTTAGAAAAAAAGGTTCCTAAAGGGTTATTCGCTTGTCTTTGGTTCTTCTTTGATATGGATTTCACTCACAGATTCTCTGTAGAACCTTATTCTGAGGGTTATATAAAGAACCCCTTAAATATATCTGTACCTAAGATGGACTTTTAATGGTTACCCCAGCAGGACAAATAAAAAACCTTTAAATGTGCTACAAAGCACTTAGCAAGAGCACTGTTGTACGTACCTTTTTACAGATTAAATGGACACATTACAACACTGTTGATTGACTATCCCTGAACACAATTCGCCTCTCCTGAGCCAAGTAGCATTTTTTGGAGATTGAAAGTGTGCTGTGAGTTGGGTTTGGGCTACTCTGGAATCAGGGGGAGTGAAGGGGGAGACAAAGTGCACAGGTTTTGCAATCTGGTCGTCATGGTATGAGTCACCACCTCAGAACACGGTAACAATCGCTGAGCTGTTTGTTTACATTTGAGTTATTTAGGACAGTGCAACCGATTAGGGCTGCCATGTTAGCACAGTGCCACAATGCCATGATGTTTGGTACATACACAGCGCTAGTAAAGCTTTCTGCTGTGAAATTTCGGCGTACGGGAGAAAGGGGAGAGAGGGGTAATTATAATGCAAGAGAGGGAGGGGTAATTACCGTGTGACATCGAGGAGATAGTGAAACTACACTATGAAAGAGGGGCAATTACACAGTGAAAGAGGGGTAATTACAGAGGAGAGCGGGGTAATTTACAGTGTGACGGAGGTAGGGGTAATTACACAGTGAAAGATGGGTAATTACAGTGTGATGTGAAGGAGAGGGGGGTAATGTACAGTGTAATGTGACAGACACTTGAGAGACTGGGGCATTTACAGTATGACATAGGGGTTATTACAGTGTGACAGAGGGGTAATTATTGTATGACAGAGGGGTAATTACAGTGTGACAGAGGGGTAATTATTGTATGACATAGGGGTTATTACAGTGTGACGGAGGGGTCATTACAGTGTGACAGAGGGGTAATTACAGTATGACAGAGGGGTAATTACAGTGTGACAGAGGGGTAATTATTGTATGACAGAGGGGTAATTACAGTGTGACAGAGGGGTAATCACAGTATGACAGAGGGGTAATTATAGTATGAGAGAGGGGTAATTACAGTGTGACAGAGGGGTAATTATTATATGACAGAGGGGTAATTACAGTGTGACAGAGGGGTAATTATTGTGTGACAGAGGGGTAATTACAGTGTAACAGAGGGGTAATTACAGTATGACAGAGGGGTAATTACAGTGTGACAGAGGGGTACTTACAGTATGACACAGGGGTAATTGCAGTATGAAAGAGGGGTAATTACAGTGTGACAGAGGGGTAATTACAGTGTAATATAAAGGAGAGAGGGGTAATTACAGTGTGATGTGAATGAGAGGGGGCAATGGCAAATGTGTACTTATTAATGTTTGTAAAGTGGCGAACTGAGGACCAACACTGTGATAAAATCACTAGTGTGCAAGACTGTGTTAGACCCAGATCCTGGCTGTGTCATCCTCACTGATGATATGAGCTGACACTATCTGCTAGGATAACCAGGAGCTAAAGAGTGATACGGGCCAGAGAGGGAGAGAGAGAGAGAGAGAAAAAGAGAGAGAGAGAGAGGGAGATACAGAGCAAAGCAAAGGAGGGAGAGAGCAACAGAAAGAGTGATAAGAGATTGACAGAAATTGGGAGACAGTAATGGGGGTCAGAGAAAGGGAAATGGAAAAAGTGAAGCAGGGACAGGTGGACAGAAAGAGGATAAGACATGGTGAGAATTACTAATGGAGACCTTATTTTCACCCCCTTAGCTTTGTTGTTGCAACAAAAATATGTTCTTGAAACAAAATAGTACACAAATTTAGGCAATGGAAGATATTTAAAAAAAAGAAATATTTAAAATGAAACAATGAAAATTATATAGTACATTACAAGGATAAATAAAAAGTTGTAATTACCATTTTCATCCTATATTATAGATATCAATGGTAGCAACCATGAAAGTCATCATTAAGTCCTGTTAATTTTATTCAAAGACACATTGTACAACACCAACTCACCAGCCTACCTCCAAACTTGATCAAACTGGAATGCCTTGAATCTGGTTTTTACTGTACAGTCCAATCCAGAATAAGACCCCAGATCAAACAGAACACCAAACCTGCCACCGAGTTCTCTAAGCAAGACAAGTACTAGGGTGCAACGTCCCCAATATGCATGTGTATTGGTCAGGGACTACCAAACTGCGCAGAAGGGGCTACCTTCCTCCAGTGTGAAGTCTATATGTGCCAGGTGCCTGTTCAGAGAAATGGCTCTGTGAGTAATTCAACACAAGAGGTCCCCTTATTGCATTGAAGGATATTTCTAAAACAGTCTCCAATTCGATAAAAACCATGTTTTCACTGCAAGCATATGATTTAAATACTCCTCCTTACAACATTTTGGCACATGTAGAGGCTAAGCCTTTGTGTTCATCTGAACTCCCAAACGCTGAGGAGCCGTTACGCCCTCCTGCTACTTCTCCATTGTCATTACGGTGCATGCACAGGATTCCACATAAGGTTCTGTTTGGCTTCGCACAGGTTCGGTGAGCACAGTAGCCATGGAGCTCTCCATTGATTGCAGGGACTTTGACCCCTGCTTACAGCAATATTTTCTGAATCTTTCCAACTGCTATAAACAGGTCACGGTTTAGTTAAGTTCCGCAGAAAAAGATGCTTTTAAACTAGAGCCTTAATCTGGTCCAGTCAAAGTGGACCCTTTTAAATGGTTTTCCACTGCCCTATTTTACTGGCCACATTGAGCTGGCCCTAAACACTTTCCCATTTAAACTGGCCCCCTAGTCTGGCTCTGTTCTCAATTTCTTATCAAAATGGCCACTAAAACTGGCCCTTGAAACAAGGCCTAATTAAAAGAACTGCACCTGAAAGGAGGAAAATGGGTTACTAGGCTGTCCATGGCTTCATGATAGAGGAGCAGAAATCCATAAGGAATTTCCGGTGTCTGCTTGCACTAATGCGAATCATTACAATTGTGTAGCTGATTATTTTTGATTAGACAAAGCAGGGGCCAATGCCCGAGGAGCAGTGTGGGGTTAGGGGCCATGCCCAGGGGCCAATGCCCAGGGGGTAGTGTAGGGTTAGGGGCCATGCCCAGGGGCCAATGCCCAGAAGGGAAGTGTAGGGTTGGGGCCATGCCCAGGGGCCAATGCCCGAGGAGCAGTGTGGGGTTAGGGGCCATGCCCAGGGGCCAATGCCCGAGGAGCAGTGTGGGGTTAGGGGTCATGCCCAGAAGGGAAGTGTAGGGTTAGGGGCCATGCCTAGGGGGCAGTGTGGGGTTAGGGGTCATGACCAAGGGCTACACCGGGGCTTGAAGCACCAAACTTTTGAGTCCCAGTCAAACGCCTTAGCCACTAAGCTATGGCCAGCACCTACAGCATGGGATGAGTCATCTGCCTCCAGCTCAAATCAGCATGGGAGAGCAACCTGTGCCCCATCCACAGCTGTCAAGCAGTTACTCTGTTCTCCCTCACACCGGGGGCAGAAGCAGCAGTGCTGCCCTTACGCAGTGCGGCCCCAATGAGAACACAACCCCAGGGACCTGTGAGTGGTCCTAAGGAAAACCATCCGCAGGTATCAGAACTGCTAGCCTAAGCCACCTTGAGCAAACAGCCATACTGGCACATACTGAAAACTGAAAGAAATACAATGAAAACAAAACTCCAAATAACAGTGTCAATGCCAGTATGTTTGTGTGGAGAGATATGACTTATTTATATGTTTATATGATTTTTATACATAGTTCAACAGTACTGCATTTCAGCTCTAATTTTCCCACACAGCAAAACATTAGACCTGATGCTTCAAGCACTAAAGAACACACCGCAACAAAACCTGTTGTATCACCATAGATACACCAGCCAATTAGCTGACAAAACCAGAACAAGTAACACAAGATATGAAAATTTCACACATAAAAACAACAGTGTCCACATTTAAAAATATGCTGTGAGCATTAAGGAAGAATTCAGAATTATCTGGAATTAAGAGAACTGTGTCGGTCTCACCAGTATAACTGGCTAGTGATCAAAGACATGGCAGGTTACTCTATGGATTACTGAACATGCCGTGAATGTCCGCATGCACATAACCGTGTTTGCATGAGATGTTTGTGTTTGCATAAGTAAAGACTGGTGGCTCTAAACAGTTAGGTGCAATATGAATCTAGAACATAGAAGGAGAAGAGTATAAAAAAGTAAATAATTCATGCAGGTCTATATGTTACAAAATGTATTGAATCTATAGGTCAAAGTAGGCTAACTAATTGATTGTTTAGGTATTAAGTAACTACTCAACATACAGGTAAATTGCCTGTTGTTTGTTATTAAATATACAGGTAAAGGCTGGTGTATACTGACTGACTGTTGCCTAAAGACACTATCGCTACGCTATCGACATTGCAGCTCAGCTTCCCTGGTGGTGGCCGTGTTGGAGTATAAGCCGAGCCCCTATGAGTCAGCACCAGTCTGAGGACAAAGTTTGGGATATTCAGCAGTTCAACATTACGGAGGCTGCATGCAGAATCAAACGCAGCTTCAGCAGGTTTGTGCCCGGTCCAAAAATACGAATAAAAAAAAGAAATCTGACTGAGAAACCACAAAATTCCCTCTCACAGTGAGCATCAGTGTCTCCAACACATTCCACGGAAAACCAGCAGAATCCTCAAAGCCAGATGGTTATCTTCCAAACCAAAACAATATCTGAGCAAAGCAGAACATTCATTGTGTACAGTATCGACCTAAACCAGTCATTTTACAGCATGGAGTACGTGTTGTGTTGTGTTGTGTTGTGTTGTGTTGTGTTGTGTTGAAACGCACTAGGCCTCTGATTCAGAGCCCAGGCCAGAAGTAGAGGGAAAGTACGATTCTGCAAAAAGAACAGTGAGTTCTGGTCCAGATGTTTGCCAGACTATATTTAAGCTGATTCCATTACTTCTTACGCTGGTGTTTACCCACCCAACTCCTCCAACATTTTCTGTCCTTCTCTCCTCCTTCATGGGAAAAACAGGCCTACACCAATTCCTCCCTCTAAACTGGCGTGGCTGTGCGGCTGTCTGAGATCAGACACAAAGCTAACAATGTTAGCATTAGCCACTGAGTGTGCACACCAGACCAGCCCTGCTCTTACAGTGTTCCCAAAACAGTAAATCAGAGCTATGGCTGTGATATCAGACAGCAGGTTAAACCAAATTCAACCCACTTAATCCTAAAACAACCCAACAAACCTTTGACTGTATGTAGACGGAGATAAACATGGAGATATATTTCAGAAATATTCACAGAAGTTCAGATTTATAACAAGGTCCACCCCCTACATTCAGACAAGCCTTTTCTGTTACAGGCTAGTTGATTTTAGGAGACTGTGAATTTCCAGAGATTTCAATAACAATAGGTTGACTTATTCTCTTCTATAAGACTTTAAACACAAAAAATCATGTCAGTATAAATTTAGAGCAATTTGTCAGAGTATCCTCACAGACAATATTGGAATTTCTCTAGATTAAGATTCCATGGTTATAAGAGGGTGACCCAGCTTCCATCCGTGTAACTGCAAGAAATGTGAAATGTCAAAGCAAAGGTCAGAGAATTCAGCTGTGGCTTGGATAAGTTTAAGCCTTTTCCTTCCCAAGATATTAAGTCTGTCAACGACTTTACATTTAATAAAAACTGCAGCTCCATGTGGGAAAGGTGTGACCTCCGTTCACTGCAGATTACCATAGATCACCTGGAAACACCATGTTCTTCCTATGTAGTCTTAGCAGCATACAGTGATAGACGATTCCAATTCCGAAATGCATACAGCCTTCACACTTTATGTTTCCATGACAACACTGAGAAATACATGAATGGGAGTATTTTGAGGTCATTGAGGACGTTGAGTCTACCCTGTAGAACCCTGAGGAAGTTAGAGTGGGGAATGTTGTACTCATGAGATAATTTATCAATAAGAGTCAATCACTTGGTAAGCCATTCAAGTACATCCTGTGCGGATTAATAAATTAGGTATCATTATGGCTGTGCTTTTGTCACAGAAGTAATGATCATAAAGGGTTCCTGAATTTTTGCTTTCTGGGTGAGTGACCTTGGTTTGGGTTGTTTCTGTGCTTCGCTGTGATTTTCATTGTTGTGTTATTGATCACTGTAATTTGACTTGCTTCAAAGCGCAATTTTCTCAGCATTTAACAAATTACTTTAAACCACAACTATGGTCATTTTAAGTGAAACACTGTGTGGTTTAATGTTGCTCTGACGCCATTTTTATGAATTGTCCTCAAAGTTTTGGCAATGTTTACAGTGAAAAGTTAACGAGTGAAGTTGTTCCGTAAATCTGAAAGAACTACGGTGATTGATGTGGTTGGGAATTACGGAAATGATCAGTGATCCATGACCCCTTTACAGAGCTAATCTGAGAATGGATCACCGGGGATGCCGTAATTTTCAGACACATGAGTGAACGCTTCCTACTTTGCCTGCAGTCTCACTCGGAGCGTCAACTGCGTCTATCTGGTTCGCACATGACTCCACAACAGGGTACTGTCAACGATAACAAGAGGAGCTTAGAGACACGTGTCGAGCAATAACAACATCAATGAGGAGAAAATAAATAAAGGAAGAAGAGACTCTATTATTACCATTATTGACAACTTGTTCTATACTTTAACCTACGGTCTAAACCGCATAATAAATTGAAAAAACTAATGCTGAACTTTTCTTCTGGTTGTAAAGAGGAGTAATTCGCTGATGGAGAAGCACAGATTCACAGGGCAACAGAGCTTGCTGAAATCTCTTTCGGCCAACTACCAAATGGTTTCTTCACACTCGTGGGACGCGATAACCGTGACGAGGTACCATCCTATAACAAGTTAAAGGAGCCATAACCATTGCGCATAAAGACCTGAGCAATGAAATAATGTATGAATAAAATTTGAAAAATTTTCTCAGGGCAAAATATTTTATGTGCACTGACCACGTTCCGTTGCGGATGAAAATCCGCTAAGCACACTCCTTCAGGCGTATCCTGTAAACCATTATGTCAGCGCAAGAATTATAGGCTATTCATTTATCCATATACTCCATTTATTTGATTTTTTAAAAAAGTCAATAGATGTAAACCTCTAGTCTGAATAAAGATGTGCAAAGACACTGTAGACAAAAAATATCAATTTCACATACAACAACACTAGTCCAAGAGAACATGCTGTATGCACCGGCCACGTAGCCCTCATCAAGCTTTGAAAAGGTGCACACGCGTACATACACTGTAGATGAATTAGCATTAATTCAGATATAACGAGCAAACATAACATGTTTTGCATGCTGATGCTGTCGGACACGGTGCCGTGACAGATGCGAATATGTAAAACAGAACAAACGAATAAGATGACAGGTAGATAGTTAGGTATGCCGACGCCATAATTTAACAGGAGTAGATACCCAATGTTATCGATACTTATATCCCTTTGACCCGATGCAAATGCACCAACCCTCAATAAGCTACAACGGCGCACAAACCCGCTTTTCTTTTCACAGCTAGACGTACCGCAGTATAAAAGCCCCACCACTCACCTCTCGTAGACATGTCTCGCAGTGGAAGGCAGTGGAAATTTTCCTCTATGATTGTCTAGGGAAGAAAAGATGTCGTTGAAAAAATATTTTCCGAATCCAGTTAGATTTTCCGGTACTTTCAGAATAAATCGCCAATCAAGAGCAACCTTTTCTGTGTGCCCTACAGAAAGGAAGCGATAGAACAGTGGGTACAACAATAACAGTGGGCTACGCGGCAGAATAAGAAAGGCAAGCGAGAGCCAATACAGAAATAGACTGCACAGCTGGGCGTGTCCTGCACAGACAGACGCATGCCAGCTTTATATGATGTCAAATGTCATAGTAAGAATTAAACATTAATGACAATATGACCACTGTACATATCTTAGTCGCTCCATTAACGAATTCGATTGAAACAGGCCGAGTTTCGTCGCCCTTTGACACACTGTCGCGTGTAGCCGAAATGTCAGTTTTGGGGGAAACGCAGCGATTTAAAAATCGTGGGAATCGAATTCCCTCAAACTTCACAGACGATAGTTGCGTTTGCCAAACTATTGGTTGAATGATTGATCGATTGATTTGCTGATTGGTTGACTGTTTGATTAATTGATTGATTGATCTGGCATAGGCATCTGTCCTAAATCATAGAGGTTTTTAATTATGAAAATGATTAGTCTGTTTTTAATAGTTTGAACATTTCACTTTGTCAATTTTGAACTTTCGTTGTTATGTTAACATGTTGAATAAAACCCTTTTGCTTAAAAAAGACCTATATATATCATTAGGTTTGAAAAAATGACGACTCCTACCATTTCTTGGATT